CAGTTTTGTTCCATACAGTATTAACCTTGTGAACTCTCAAGCTTCCTCCTTCCATTATATATGGACAGTATTTAATATTTATTTGCTACGTATATGTAGGGATGTGGGTCTATACGTATGTTATTCATAGTAAGTTTAGGTGTGCGTCATGTATGTGTTTCACTTTGAGAGCGGGCAACTAAATTTCATTTTTGATGTGTGCCGTTGTGCCCACAGTAAAAAAATGACAATAAAGGCTATCTTCTTCTTCTAAGTGAAAGAATTGGCATAGAACCAATCTTACATTACATACAAAAAGAGCAAATAAAATGGTCTGCTCACCTGGAGAGGATATTGTAGGATTCTATATCATACAACGCACATACAATAAGAGGAGAAGGTCAAAGAACATGAGGCAGATTCAGAAGAAGATGGAGAGACACTATAACAACATCAATTAACAATGGTTGAGGCCATCAAAAAAACAAGAGCCAGAATTTTGTATCTCCCTCGACACCCGAAGTGGTAAAGGATGAAGTAAAGAAGACTGAAACAAAATAATTCTGCACACTTACACAACAACCCCACATCTCCTGTTGAGGAGATGGAATTTTTCATCAATTACATTTCTCCTGGCTCTTTTTTCAAGACAGGACAGCACCACAATTATGGCAATCTACAAAAGGAAAGAAAATCCCTGGGTTCTGAGAATACAAGGAATGTTGCTCACAATCATGGTAAGTTATTTATAGTTTTACTTACTGATGGAAGAAGTGAATAATGCAAAACAGGCTCCAGGTCTATTAGACTTGTACAGGTTTCATTATACGTTTCATTTAGAGACTGACTGCATAGAATACACAAATGCAAACAACATATTTAATTGAAAGCTATATATTGTATTGTATATTAAATAATAGTTTCTGATGGAAAAAATGGAGAATGGCTTTGTGGGGACAAATAAAGAAATGCAATTCTGTGTGCATCTAAGTTTTCTTGATTCGGCATCTGTATCGCCAAGTTAGGGGAAACTGCTGAAGCACAACACAATGGGTACTTTGTATGCAGAAAAGTTCAGCTTTTATATCTCGTATCACCTGGTAAGGGTAGAAAACCCCTCATTGCAAAACTCTGTACTTGTAAATGGCAGTCTACAAAATATACCATCTACAGGTAGTCCTCAACTTTCATTTAGTGACTGTTCAAAATTATACTGGCACTGAAAAAAGTGACTTATGTCTGTTTTTCACATGCAGCGTCCCTATGGTCACATGATCAAAATTCAGCCACTTCGCAACTGGCATGTATTTATAAGATGATTGCTGTGTCCTGGGGTCATGTGATCATCTTTTGCAACTTCCTTAATGGGGAAATCATATTCATTTAACAACCATGCTACTAACTTCTTCTTCTTCTTCTTGTGCCATATCCATTATCAGACGTTGGCGATCATGTTGGCGATCCTGTTTTTATCAGCAGCCGCACGAAAAAGTGCTGCTGAGTTTTGTCCTTAGATTTTGAAGCCACGATGTTCTTCTTCTGCCTGGACCTAACTTAACTGCAGTGATTCATTTAACAACTGTGGCAAGGTTAAATCATAAAATGGGGCAAGGTAGGTCATAAAATGGGGCAAAACTCACAAAACTGTCTTGCTTAACAATGGAAATTTTGGACTCAACTGTGAACATAAGTTGAGGACTATCTGTATCCTAATTAATGCAGTATTCCAAATTTCTGAACGTGAAAAACAGAAAACACCACTGGATAACAATTCTGTCTACCTACCTACCTTTCTAGCTACTTTTTCTTTCCTCTCTCCAGGGGAGTCTGAGTATCATGAGAAAGTAATTCTCCTTTGCTCTGCAAGAACTATCCTACAAATGGGTTAGCTTGAACTCAGCTAAGCAGGGGGTTGAACACAGACTTGGTCCAACATTGTCTCTCATCAGCACCAGTGTTTCCACGAACTATATCCATGAAATAATCCTATTAACCATACTTAGAGGAAATAGGCATGCACTTTTCATTCAGTCTAAAGCCACAAACATGACAATGTGTCCCTCCCATTTCCCATAAGGAAGTCAACCATATCTGTAACTAATTCTTCCTTTAGCATTCATGATAAAACATCATCCACCATCACATTTAAGGACAATACACTACTTAGTGGGTACAACTCAGGCCCTGTCCTCCAAGAGAGTACAGAAAGATGGTCTCTAGAAAGAAATCCACCACTACCTCTCATCTCCCCATCCCAAGCTTTGCCCTGAGGCAACCATCTCACTGTGACCAGAGTTGACGTGAATGCTCAAACTGGTTCATCCTCCCATTCATTACTGAAGCTCCTAACATCATGTCTTCACTAACAAAGCACAGCAGGATAGGAACAAATTTCTTCTGTATGACAACACTTGCACTCTACTTAGGGTGCCATGTCAAAATTGAACAAGAGAGAGAAATTGCAATCAGACATGAGCAAAGTATGTTTGGTGAGGAAGGGATCAAGTAGAGATGGTGTACGCAGGGCAAAGATTGATGGGATTTGCCATAGTAAGTACAAGGTCATAAATTACAGAAGAGGATTAGGAAGGACTTTTCAATTACTGTATTGTTCAGATGCGCTAAATTTTTTGAAATTGAAAATAAATGTGCTAAGCTTTTTAATTGAAAATAAAGTATAATTATGGGAATACCATGCAAAAGCTACAATACCCTTCAAATAATGTCAAGCAACTTAGAATACAGACAGTCCCTTCCATCTCTAGCAGGCACCCTACACTAGATGCCACCAGCAAACTAGTGCCTCCTAAGTCATGGAAGTGATGGAGAAAGAGTTCTATAGAAGAATCAGCAGGGAGCAATTGGTACTTAAAACTCCCCTTAGCTACCTAATCTGCTTCAGCTCTAGGGTTCAAGTCAAATAGTTCCTCTGAAATTGGCCAGATGCATCTGCCAATGCTCCCCTAGGCTTATTTCAAGGGAAGGAAAGCTGCAAAAGAAAATAAATGGTTGGGTGGAGAATTAAGCACCCCCTCTAATTTTCTGATATGATAATCCCTGAAAAATGCCTTCCTTCCCCCCCCCCCCCACACACACATAGCATTGCGAGTTCAGCAAATCTCATGGGTGTCTCTCTCATACTGAAAACTTACCATGTTTCCAGAGAGGGTATTATGGCCATGCTGAGAAGAGCAGTAGGTGTTAGATGTATGCAATTCTATAGGCAACTCCAGGAAACAATATGGTATTTCTGTCTTCTTCGTTTCATGTTCTTTTCTTAATCATTCTGATGATCTGAGAATGCAGAGGTAATTCCAAGGCTGTTTCTAATTCCAACCGACCTAGCTACTCATAAAGCAAACATTTGGTTAAATATTTGCCTGTGATAAGAGCACAATGAGGAAGCTAACCAACTGGAAGATTCTCCCAGTTATCTGCAGACACCATATTTAACAACTAGAAGTAAAAAAAAAAAAAAAAACCCTTCCAATCAGTGGCATCGCACAGAAAAATACAGGAGTACAAAGTTCAGAAGAAAAGTTCAAGAGAGCATGCAAAATGCAAAACAGTATGACCCGAGCAGCACAGGGTGAATTGAACAATAACTGGTGGGTCAGTTACTAAAAAGATTTCCCAAAACAATATAACTTAGTAGAATCAGTTTTGGTTTTTGTATATAATTTTTATTAAATACATTTTCAAGAGAATAAAAACAATATCATTTGTGTTTACTTATCATTTCTCTTATAATTCTGTCTCATTCTATGTGTTTGAATCCAACATTTTTTTAGGGTTTGTTTGTTTTTTTGCAAGTCCACCAGACATGATAAAAACATCTTCCATGTTTTCCACATTATATATATATATATAAAATGTTCAGACATATATATATAAAGTTCAGGCATTTTGCATCGTGGGCAGGAAATACCTCAAGTGATATGTAATTCCCAACTCCACTTTTTTCCAGCCTCAGAAACTCCACTGATTGAACCATAGACATTCAGAAGCAAATCATTTAATTGTAGAAAAAATTGCCACTCATTTTTGAAGAAAAGGGAAAGGACAATGATGCATAAGTCTTCTAAAAGGCTTCACACACTTTAGATGGCTTTCAAAAACAATATCCATCCTTCCAAAAGATAAATATTGCTGTGATGCCACTCAGCACTCAATGACAGCTGACCCCTGCAAGAATATACATCTCAGTGTCTCTTTGATGTGGCCCATTAGCATATCCAGAAAGACACAGCTGGCACCATACAGGCAGGAAGAGATTACACCGTCCGTTCTGTATTTAGGGGAGGCAAAATTGGGGGACTGCTTAAATGCAAGCCTTAGAAAGGAAATAGAAAGAAAGGCTGACTTTTTAAATATATTTTTAGAGAATATCAATGTAATATATAAATACAAAATAACTGCAAAAATATTACAGATTCAAAATACTGAATTACAGATGCTCTTTTGCTCTTCAAATCACATCCCTCTCAAGAACACTTTTAAATTTGCAAAATCACTCCAAAATATCCATTTACCTGTTGTAAATATGTGGTTAACAGAAAGATACCTCTTATGCTTCTTAGGAATTGTTTGGTAGAAAGTTTCCACAGGCAGAGCAGATTTTAGAACATGCTTTATTAAAAATAAACCTCTTAACATTTTTCTTTCTAGCTGTGACAAGCAAAGATTACGGAGGACAAGAGGCCAACAGGAAGACTCTTTTAAAGTTTTGTTCACTTGCATCTAACTTTGGCATATCTTTCTTTCTTTTTCTTTTTTTCTTTCTTTCTCTTTCTTTCTTTCTTTCTTTCTTTCTTTCTTTTTCTTTCTTTCACTTCATGTCTGAATAATTTTCTGCCAGTTCAAAGATTGTCCATTTCAGAAGTGGAAAGGGCCTATTTCTATGTATAGTTCTATATTTATTTCTTTTTTATTATTATTATTAAAAGTTTTACAATTTTACAATAAAATCCCTCTCCCACTACCTCCCTACCCCCCAAAAAACCCTCCCCCCCTCTTCCCAGAGCTGAATACAGGGTTAACTAGAACTAAAAATACAAAACATTTAAACTTAAGTAAACCTCAAACAAAAGTTACAGTTGTATATTTATTTCTTAACAACCATCCACATTACCTTACATGGGAAAAAGTCTCTTATATCACCTCAGGGATGGTCTGGTGAAATTAGATGCCCTAGGGAAATAACCTCTATTCAGAAAGTTTCTGCATTCCAAAGAAGTTCCTGAAGCACATCTTTGCTTATCCATGATCACTAGACGTGTCTATGGCAAGTATTGGGGTTGATATTCAACAGCATCTGAATGGCATGTTGAATTTCCCTGTTCCTGCTGTATGGCTTCATCAAAGAGTTACTGTATGTAAACATCAGATTATGGCCAATGCACATATACCTTCAAAGTTCCAATTTTTAATACCAGCATAAGGAGGATGGGGTACACAGGATTACCAGCATAAGGAGGATGGGGTACACAGGATTAAAAAGTATAAAGGATACAACAAAATATAATTGAAAAGAAAAATCAATGCTAAAATATATAAAAACAAGACTTTAAAAAACTAAAAGGAAAGGTAGAAATATTAGATCAACAGGAGGAAGCATACAATTTAGTATACGGCAAACTAAATCTATCATAGTACAAAGCACTTTTGAATAACTAAATGCTCATTAAGACTAGTGTATGGCATAGGTCAGTGTTTCCCAAACTTGACAATTTTAAGGCATGAGGACTTCAACTCCCAGAATTCCACAGCCAGCAACGCTGGCTGTGGAATTCTGGGAGTTGAAGTCCACATGCCTTAAAATTGTCAAGTTTGGGAAACACTGGCATAGGTCATCTGACAGATTTTAAGCACTGCTGGGCAAAGCCTGGCAACATTATATTGTTAGCAGGGTTAATGTCTGAAAGTAGCAGGGAAATGTAATTTGGGCGTTTATCAATAATGGTGAGTATGCATGAATGTCTCTGTAGTACTGGCACTGGAGAAGTACATGTTTTCTTGTTTCTAAGAATCAAGGGGCATCTCTCTTTAGGTAGGGGATCTTCCTGTATCACCCTTCAAGAATACCTGAGGGGAAGGTATGACATTGTGCCAGAATGAAGGCCTTTTGGTGTTTAGGTAGTTTGAGGTTAGTTAAGTGTGTCATGAGCGAGGCAGAGTGCATTGGTACTTTGTGTCTGCTATATACTGTTTAATGAGTGCTTTGGCTTGATCATCTCCCATGCTGAGTAAAAGATCTGGAGAGAAGAGCAAAGCTGCAATTTTAGTTGCCACGGCCTTTTTCCATGTGGACTGAAAATCATTCCTCATAATTAATGGAGAAGGCCAAGGAGAAAAAGATATAATCTGATTCAATCGTTGGGTACAGTCACCCATACTTTAGCTCCATTTTCATGAAGCCTGTCTCCAGTTTCACACTGGCATTAGAGACGTATTTGGGGACTTGAATGGTTGATCTTAGAAAGTTGGATCTAATGGCACAAAATTGGAGAAGGGAACCAGATGGGGACACACACTTGGTTTCCCGTCGCCACAAAACATTCTATCAACTGATGTTCAAAGTATTTGCTATTAAAGCAAATAATTTTTATTAGGTATTTTAAGACAAAGGTAAAAACTAACAAGAATTAATATAAATTATAAGAAGGAAGGAAGGAAAGAGAGAGAGAGAGAGAGAGAGAGAGAGAGAGAGAGAGAGAGAGAGAGAGAGCCAAAGGTACAACAATAAAAAAATGAAAAAAAAAATTGAAGTGGCTTCCAATTTTCCTTACAGCAATTACAAGCACCAATACAAAATTACCGCTTAGTCTATGGTTATAAGGGGGAAAAAAAATCTCTTTTTACCATTATCAATTTTTTTAATCATCAAATTGTAATTTCTTTTTTTCTCTTTCAAGCAAACAAAATCTATATGGAGTTTCCAGTCAATAATGTTGATCTTGTCTTTTCTCTAATTAAGGAAGTGAATTTAGCCTTCATTGCAAATTCTGTCATCTTCGTCAACCATTCCTCCATTGTGGGTTGTGCACATATAATAATCTCACTGCAGTTATCATATAGTGATGCTGGGATTGAATACAGCACAGTAGCATAATAAATATTAGCCATGCTGCAAGTGTTCATTTAGGAAACAAATGAATATGTCAGCAAGCTCCTTTAGATCACAACTCGGATCAAATACTAAATCATGGCTGACCACAGAGGCAACTGTACGCTCAGGGCTCTAAGTATATTTAGTGTACATTGTCAAAAAAACAAAAATTTGATAAGTCAATTGAATAAGAGAGAGGTTTTAGCTTCCGGATTTTTTGGAGACTGGGGTTATTCAGAAGTGTATAGAACAGGAGCCATCTTGTCCTGGCTTTGCTAGACACTCTGGGAACTAAAATAAGAAACCAGTATTAATTTTTGCCATGTTCAGCAGGCCAGACATTCTCTCTCAGCCCAACCCACCTCATAGGATTGTGGTTGTGTGGAAAATAAGAGGAAGAACGTGATTTGGATATGATTTACGTCATTTGTAAAACTAAAAGGGTGGGATATCAACAAATAAAACAAACATTCCCCAGATCATTCTCTTGTTTATTACTGACCAACATACTCAATTGAATACTGTATGTGAGGCTCTGAGACTCTATATCATATGCATTGTATTTCAGTTAATCCCTTGCTGCCAAAGAATTGATCTTAATGCATTTTGGAATTTCTGTTTTTTTGGGGGGAAGGGGAAATTGCAATTTAAGTTTTTCTAAAAAGAATAATATAAAGTTTGGGGGAGAAAGGAGATGGATCAATACAACATTTTAGAGCCTTGCACAAGTATTAGAACTCACTATCTAAACTCCACCCTGTAAAGAAATGCTACGCTCTCGGGAAAAACAAAATTTGGGGATGATGCTGTCACAAATGTCTGAACAGATAACTTTCAGAAATCCAGTGTGCATGATAGCAGAGAAACCTGAAATGGAAACTTTTAATAAATTATAGGACATAGGTTTATCTTTGTGATAGGAGCCAGGGCAAAAGGCCAAATGGTTGATGAAATGGAAATGTTTAGTTATGGGATCCACCTTCAAGAGTTCTCTGAATGAAGACAATCTGCAGTGAGCAGAACTTCTTCCCCAGGAGTGGAGATTCTATTTTAACCTGCCCTATATCTTATATATTGCTTAACATCCCAACAGGCCATGTGATTCAGGCTTACCTATTTCCAATGAATAAATATGATCCACAGATGAATATGAATCGGCTGACAGGTTTTTTTGTTTGAATTTGTTGCAAAGGATTTGGCAGAAGCACACAAGGATGGGATTTGTGTGATAGTGGTCCAGAAAAAGCATTCCAATCCAAACTGAGAATCCTGTAGAAAAATCATGAGCATTTCTTTTTGGTATGTTAAATGCAGCTTCTTGTTCTCCCATCCCACCCACTCCATCCAAGGCTTGAAATAAAAGATGGGTGGAAGGTCCAGTTCATTATGTAAAAGTAGATCAGGTCTCCTCTGTAAAGTCCTTTAAACTCTTACCTGCATCACATTGTTCATAACCTTTTGGCATTACTGGCCGATCTATCCGTCCAACCAGCCAAGCCCCAAGAACGATGCTGCGGGCCAGTCTGAACAGACAGGAAGTTAAGCCCACAACCACCGAATGGAAGAATAGAAAATAACTGAAGTTTATGAAGACTCTCCTGCAAAACAAAAGGCTACCACTGAGAAGTCCATGCTTACTCTCCAACTATAGAGGCAGAAACAGATGAATTTGCTTTCGAATTCAGCAATGGAGGCAGATACATCCCCAATGGGATTTTACCAAAAAGGAAAATTTAGTAGTTCTTCCTAGCGCTCAGTTGAGGAAATACAATGAGTTGTATTTACAGAAAGTTATAATACTTTACTGATCCTATGAGAAGATGAATGTTTATTTATAAGTCCTACCAATCGTTATTGATAAGATACAGACTGTTGTACCAAGATATAATACAAATGCATAAACAAATTTCATTGAACTGAAATCAGTCTATACATTGCAACACTGGCACAATATTAAAAGATTTTTCAGTAGAATAAGATAATCCGATAAACAGATAAGACTAGAATAAAAAGAAAGCAGGTGAGGAGAATTATATTGTTAAATCTTCCCTAGTTTTCTTCATGCAATATTCAACATGAAAAAGAATTTGAACGTGTTTTCTTTATAGCTTAAAATAGCATAATACAAAGGCCACATAGTCCTTCTGAAACTGTTATTTTTCTACTTAACTTTTTCCCCATTGACCTTTTAACGTTTTCCTGCCAACATGGTCTCATAATGACTATCAAATGGCAGAATTGGAGGCTGAATTAGATCAGCTTCCCTAAGTAATTATTTCCAAATAAGGTTTTTATTTATGCAAAATAAAATAATCTCACATTTTCACATCCCTCCTTTTTCACATCTTTTTCTGACAGTCATTTTAAAAATAAGGAAAGAACACCGGCAGAACTATACAGTATCTTCCAAACAACACTGCTAAAAGATGTTTATCTGGAAGCATCCTTGTTTATCAACTCCAGATGCTGTGCAATGGAAAAAATTATAGTCACAGAATAGCAGTAGACATATTGCTCCCTAGCACTGACCTGTTATCAAGTGCCAAAGGCTTTTGACTGTCACTCGGTGACATTTTTGGCTGGAGAAAAAATCTGGCACCGACAAGCACCTGTATCTTCTTGATCACTAGGACAATGACAAATGTCAGGCTGAGAGACAGAAAACAAAGAAAAGAACATTGCATTTTAAAACCAAGCTAAACCCATCAAAAATATATATAAATAATATTGAAAGCATTGTGTTTTGCTACCATCCTCTTACTCAGGGATCCAGAATTTTTATGCTCATCATTATGAATTCCTTGGTACTCAATTCTATCCAATTTCCAAATTCAAAAGTATATAAAAAAGATTAAAGGTGGAATTCTATGAACATAGTTTATAGAACTGCATATGCAGGCATGTGTTTTTGTGTCATTTGTTCTACGCATTTCTTCCTATCAAACAGACAAATGGCACTTCAAATGATATAATAAGCTCTCATTTCTGACTATGAATGTTTCTGTAAGCAGAGCAGCAGAACAATGAATCATCTGCTCGGTACGTATTTTTTTGAGGATGTACAAATTCCTTCTTTGTAATCCAGCCAATGAGGTGGATGATGGTAACTGCTCAAAGTTTCCCAATCCCATCCAGCCAGATTGTCTTCTAGGCTTTGATAATGTTCAACATGGGCCAATTATGTGAATAATGCTCACAGTTTCAGCTTGGTAAATCTATAAAGGCAGGGAGACCAAACTGTTATTGTGACTGCAGGCACTTACACCGTAATTCCCCATTTGTTGAAAAGCTCCATCCACTTGCCATGTATCATGGGTAAAATCAAAATATACGTAAGTATTACTCCAAATAACCACTGCAGCAAATGCATGATTAGGTATCCTAGAAAAGAAAATTTACAAATGGTCAACAGAAGGGGAGAATTAGAAGTCCCCAGTAATTTATTCCAACCCTTTTAAGACAGATGTCCACATACCCCACATCATGTATGCAACTTGGAAAGAGATGTACTTTGATAGTGCTACCTGTTGGTGTAAAAAGAATGGGAGAGCTCAGTTAGGATTTCACAAACATATAAACAAAATATACAATATTTCCATAAAATCTAAGGGGCATATTTTTGTAACTAGAACTATATCTGTATAAGTACAGAAAGCAATTCTGTCAGCATAATGCCTTAGGGGGAAAGAAAATAAGATGCTGAACCCTTGGGTGTAACTTTGTTTTACTCATTTATTTTTACCCAAATAAAATTTCAAATTAGAAGAAATCCCCCAAAGAGAAAAATGACCAATGAAATATGGGTGAATGACACCGTACAGGAAAGCTAGTTTTCTGTTCTTCTATAGCCCTGTCTTGTATTTATTCTTGACACCTTGGCTCAAGAATGTGCTTTGTTTTGAAAACCAGTTAAACGGAACGGCAGCAGTCTATTTATTCATGGGTTATTAAACTGATTTAGAAGAAAGGGACTCAGTATTCGAGGAGAGCAAACAAATTTAAAATGTTTAGTTGATTAATAGTTACCCAGTGAATTAATCTCCAAAAAAACCTTATAAAATGGACAATTTTATACTGAGAGAACTGGTACAATCTAATGGAAAACCAGAGAACAGGTTATCTCTAAAATATTCCCACTTCCAAGAGCTTGTCAAAAGGAAGACATTGTTTTCCCATGACCCTTGAAAATGGACAAGTCTCTTACATTTCTGAAGAAACAATAATGGAGCCAGATTATTTTTCTCTCTCTTCAATTCTGATTGACTACAGTATTATGTACATCTTTGGGTTGCATATCAGTATATATTAATCTCTTATAACATGGTTTTTGTCAAGCTAACTTTGCTCAGTCAAACCTTTCCTAAGATCTTTTTTCAGGACTAAAGATGAATCTTTTGATACCTATTCATATCATAGTTCTTTGCTCACTTTGTTCTATCTTGCATAATTACCTTAATCCCAGCAACTGTGTGTTTGTGCACACACATACACACTTCAGCCTTTTCTTAGATTCCTATCATATTTGTAGTTTTACACCAAGCATAAAAGCCCTCATCCAATTCTTTCCTAGCATTTTCAGGGTTAAAGCCTGCCATTTCTTTTATTTTCTCGAACTGTCTTCTCCATTTCTCCATTCTAAAAGTATTGGAAAAGACTGAACATTCTGAGAATTATAGTCACAACAAAAAAACAAGGTTAAAAAAGAAAAAAAACAAGGTTAAAAAAGACCATTTGCCCTGCACACCCAGAGAATATTTGATCACCTTGGTCAGGGGTAGACAACCTTGGCTCTTTTATGACTCGTGGACTTCAACTCCCAGAATTCCTGTGCCAGAGCTGGCTCAGGAATTCTGGGAGTTGAAGTCCACGAGTCATAAAAGAGCCAAGGTTCCCTACCCCTGACCTTGGTGTTAGGCCCCCAACTGTACTGGTGCTTCTAAATTCCTTGGCAGTTTTTGTTATTACTGATTTGATTTGAAGTAAGTGAGGTTGCTGGGGTCTGGAGGTTCTGTTTTGCAGCATTTTGTTAACTTTTTGGGCACTGCCAAAAGCATACTGAGGGACTTTTGCTCAGCTTTTTGAGTTCTTCACCCTGGAACCATCTCCCAAAGTTCTGGATGGACTCCAACTTGTTAGTATTGAGGAAAGTAGTAAAAATAGTTCTTACATAGAGCCTTTGATTATAAGATCATCAGTTAGGTGAACAGCAATACATCAGGTCAGTAGTGCAGGGTTGTTGTTTTAGTCAGTCTATTATTTACAGATCAGGGCCTGTACAATTAGCTCATCCCAGTGGATTCCCAGAGAAAGCTTGGGGTTTTCCCTGAGGATTTGATAGACGTTTTGGTTGAGGCCCTAATCTCTGCCTGGAATGGAGCCTTGGATCATATCACTCCTGTGCGGTCTGTCCCTTTGGTTTATGGAGCAGCTCTGGGAGATGAAGTGCCAGCAGAGATGCATGGAGTACTGCTGGAGGAAGACTCAAAGTAAGTCTAACTGGACACAGATAAGATCCCATATCAGGTATTATCTTGTAGTAAGAATGTCCTTATTGCATCTGTTAATAACCATCCAATAGCCCTGTTTAGAGCGAGCTGTTCCCTATTGGGTAGGGAAGGCCCCCTAGAATATCTGCTAGCCTGTTGTGAATATTATTCAGGCTAGCTAGTAGATAGTATTTGTGTGGATTCAGGCAACGGAGTCTTTTGTAACTGACAAATGAAAATTTTGTCTATGTATAGATATTCTAAGTGACATCCAAGACTTTTTGGCATGGCATCCAATGTGCCAATAACTGACCACCATGGCTGGTTTATGCCATAATCTTTCAACTTCGATTTATAAGATCTTGATACTCTGTTATCTTCTCCAATTGTTCGTCTTTTACTCTATCATCCCACAGTATTGTCACATCAGTTATCCACACTTTTTTCCTTACAACTAGAGTTACATCTGGTGTGCTATAAGGCAAGACTATATTAGTTTGTATTCACAAATCCCACAATATTTTAACCTGCTCATTTTTTGCCACTTTCTCAACTAGATGCTCCTACTAACTTTTCATTACAGCCACATAATTTTGACAGATTTTCCAGTGAATCACTTTGCCAACTGTGTTATTTCATTGTTTATAATCAGTTTGTGCTATCTTCTTGCATAAACTGAGTACATGAGCTACCGTTTCTTCTACTTCTGTTTCTTTTCACAATCTACAATTTGAATCATTTGATGATTTTTCAGTTCTGCCCTCAGTTTCTTTTTTAATGTTCTAGTTATAAACCGTTGCCAGATTTTATCTTTTTTTTTATTGAAAATTTTTATAAATTTTTACAAAAAAAAACAAAATAACAATACAGAAACGAAAAACAACCTATACAGAAAAAAAAACTAAACATGACATAACAAAACTCCCCTTCCCCAACCCCCCCCAAAATGCCCACCCCCTTCCCCCCCCTGAGCTTCCCAGAGCAGAATATAGGCTTAATTAAAAAAGAATTAGAAAAGTTATATATATATATATTAAAAAAAAGAAAATATAACACTGAGATATATGTATATATATATATAAATAAAAATAAAAGTTATGAAAAAGCTATGTGATATTTTTTAATATCCAATTTAAATTGTATAAATTTTATCCATTTATCCCAAACAGCAAGAAATTTCTCTTGCGTTTGTTCCTTTAAAAAAGCCGAAATCTTTGCCATTTCCGCCAAATAAGACACTTTAAGGAACCATTCCTGCATTGTAGGCAAAGATTCCTTCTTCCAGTATTGTCCTACTAACAGCCTTGCGGCTGTAATCAAATTTAACATCAATATAACCTCCTTTGTATCACAATCAATAACTATGCCTAACAAAAATAATTGTGGAGTAAATTTTATCCTCCTTCTAAAAATTCTCTGAATATTCCACCATATCTTAATCCAAAAAGCTTTTATCTCTCTGCACGACCACCAAATGTGATAATAGGTAGCATCCAAACAACCACATCTCCAACATTTAGGCTGTAAGTCAGGGTACATGAAAGACATTTTTTGTGGATCAAGGTGCCATCTATAAAACATTTTATAAAAATTCTCCCTTAAATTCTGTGCTTGTGTAAATTTGACATTTCTCACCCAAATGGTTTCCCAGGTATCCAATGGAACTGGTTCACCAAAGTTCTGCGCCCATCTAATCATACAATCTTTAATTAATTCCGTTTCTGAGTCCAATTCAACTAGAACCCCATAAATTCTCTTAATATGAGTTTGTCTTTGATCCTTCACTTGCTTAATAAAATTTTCATCTTCTCTAAGAAAACCCACCTTACAATCCACCTTCCATCTATCTGCTAATTGTCTGTATTGAAACCAAGAATAAATATTATTTTCTTGTGCTAACTCTTCCCGTGATTTTAACTGCCAATTTTGTCTGTCCCATCTGAGTAGCTGTCTGTAAGACACCATATCCATTTTAACACCCCTTTTTATTCCTTCTATCGCATGCCAAGGTATAGCCCATAATGGTACTTTAAAATCACTTTTATAATATTTTCTCCAAATCCTAAGTAAGGAAATTCTTATAATGTGAGATTTAAAAGCCCAGTCCACTTTTTTATTGAATATTAAATAGGCATGCCACCCAAAGAGTAAATCCCATCCCTCTAAATGGAGTATCTCAAGATTTGTCAAATTTACCCAGTCACTAATTAATGTTAAAACCACCGCATCATAGTATAATTTCAAATTCGGTACCTTGAGTCCACCTCTCTCACGGAAGTCTTGCATGATTTTAAACTTAACCCTTGGCTTTTTCCCTGCCCAAATGAATTTATTGAGGCCTTTCTGCCATTCACTTAAATTAATCTCATTCTTCAAAATCGGTAACATTTGGAACAAAAAAAGGAACTTGGGTAGAACATTCATTTTTATCACTGCAATTCTTCCCATGAGAGATAATTGCAACTTCTCCCAATTCTTCAAGTCCTTCTGTACACTAGCCCACAACCTTTCATAGTTATTTTTAAATAATTTTGCATTAGAAACAGATAACATCACCCCCAAATATTTTACCTTATTGACAATTTCAAAACCCGTCAAGTTAGCCAGAGTTTGCTTCTCCTGAGTAGTCATATTTTTGGATAAGATTTTAGTCTTATTAACATTAATCTTAAAACCCGAAACCAAACCATAATAATGGATCACCTGTAGTAACTTTACTGCAGAATGGGTAGGTTGCGACAAAGTAACCACCAAGTCGTCCGCAAAAGCTCTTAACTTATATTCTTTTTTGTTAACTTGTATTCCTTTAATTTCCTGCGACTCTCGAATTTTGATCAACAGTATTTCCAGTGTTAAAACAAACAACAACGGTGATAATGGACATCCCTGCCTAGTACCTTTCTCTATTGTAAAAACCTCTGACAAACCTCCATTGACAATAAGTTGTGCCGTTTGTTTTTGATATATTACCGTAAGAGCTTGTAATATCTTTTCACCAAAGTTCATCTCTTCAATTACTCTTAGCATAAAATGCCAAT